TGGTCGGAGTCTGCTTTCAGAATGCCGCGATTGATGCAGTGTTCCACGAATCTATCACGATATCCTTTTGGTAGTTTGCAGATCAGTCGGTCCACATGGGAACCGCACTTGAGTTCATAGCCATTTTCTCCTTCTAGGGAGCGAAGCATTCCAACCAGTGACTGGACTGAAAGCGCAAAGTCGTCGAAAGCTACGTGGTCTCCAAACTTGACTAAAGGCATGTTCATGCCTATCTCACTCTGGACCAGCTGACGTGCTTGACCGTACTTGTCTTTGAGGGCTCGGAGTGCTGCTGAATATGGTTTTGGGTCATGCATATATGCCTCAGCCAACCTCAGGATATTGCCCCCCAGACGCCCAAGCAGAATCTGATATTTATACTGCTCAGTGAGGTGTGGATGAACATTAACAAGATTGTCCAGGGCCATATTTAGGAGTGCAAAGTCACGTTCCTTGCCAGTGGTAAGTGTGGTAAAGTTGGACGGGGCACACCATAAGATGAAGCGATCAATAGTTCTGTCATGTTCGGCATGACTGGTGAAGCTGGGTGTGATGGCGGGGTGACAAGTGGCTTCCCCGCCACTGGTGGCACACTGGGGATTGGTGGTGCAGGGTTCAGAGCTGCACCTGGCGAAGGAGACATGCCACCCAGGGGGTGAGAGGCTATGGCTGGTCTTGCTGGTAGCTGAGATTCAGGTAGTGAAGCACACTGAAATGTGTCACATGTGTCACTACAGTAGTGATAGACACACCTGCGAGTGGCAGGTAACTTGGCATGGGCCTCATTGGGTGTGGGTGGTGCCCTTTGTTCTGCAGACACGATGGAGAAATCTGGTAGAGGTTGCGGGGGGTTGAGGCATGAATGGTGACACAGGGTGGAATGTCAGCATGTGGAATGGCTGCCCAACAACTGGTGGTTCACTATGGATTGGTGGTGCAGGATTTAGAGCTTCACCTGGTGAAGGAAACATACCACCCAGGGGAGAAGAGGCTATGGCCGATGCAGCTGGTAACTGAGATTCAGGCCTTGCGGCATGCTGAGGTGAAAAGGTCACAGATGTGTTAGCTACAGAGGTGGTAAATGTCATTGGGTGACTTTCACTGCGTATGGTAGGTGACTTGGCATGGGCCTCGTTGGGTGTGGATTGTGCCCTTTCTTCTGGGGACACAGTGGAAACCTCTGGTTGAAGTGTATGTGGCTGAGGCAAGGTGTCACCTGACTGCTGCGAAGTCTCATCGGTCATGAATGTAATAAGTTGGGCTTTCTGTAGCTCATGCTCGGCTTCTCTCAGTCGGCTTCTCCTGGAGAGCTGTGTATTCAGCTGTTCTCGCCGGCACTGGGCCTCTCTTTCAATTTTCTCCGCTCGTCTTCTCGCTGCAAGTACCTCTTCTTCAGCAGCTATCCGTGCCTCATATGCGGCATCATCAAGTCTCCTCAACTCATCGTCAAGTTGGCTCCCTTCCTCAAGCTGACGTTTCATCTCCTCCAGATGTTGTCTTTTCTTCTGTTCTTCCAGCCTGGCTTCCTGAGCACTGCTCAGTGTAATTGACAAATGGTGACTTGACGCTTATAGAGTCTTTATCTGAGCAGGAATCCAATTTGCGCTCATTCTTGTCAACTCTGGACTTGGACTGGGTATTGTAGCTGACAACAAAGTCATCAAGATGCCCCGGAATCCTTCTTTCCCTTCAGGGACGGACATCATGTGTGGATGTCGTCTCTTGCAGTTCTTTGTTTCCTTGCTCTAGGTCATGCATAGGTCGCTGGTTCGAATCTGGCTCGAAGAACCATGTGAAAAAGTGACAAGGTTCACTTGGAAAGGGAGGCGTGGCTAAAAGGGTAACACAACAACTCTATGGCAGCGATTTAACTGATGAGCAGGATTGGTTTAATGAAGAAACTGCCTGTTTATTATACCCAGATAATTAGAAACAGGGGGTAGTGACTTGCAATTGGCCAGGATACCGTAGCAATCTTGGGGAAAGTGTGATTTGTGAACGGAATGGTGGAGCTGAAACCAGTGATGAAGTCTTGGAAATATATGGAACAGGAAACCGTGGTGACTGGGGAATCAACAGAAATAAATACTAATAAATTCACTGGAATGCACGTACATGTGCCCACAAGTCGACAACATAATTGTACATGTAACGTTGCAACAATTGTCCCCGATTAAGGCTAAGGTTTGTACTCTAAACTCCTCTATTTTACATAACACAAGAATCACTATGGTCTTATACTATAAACACTGAAGAACATATGGCTGTACTCACAATTTGGGGGTATTATGATTGGAAATGTGCTTGGTAAACCTGACGTTAGAACGGAATGTACGGTGCGAGAATGAGCAAACTACTGAGGGCTCCCTACCAACTATTGCGCGATCAGTAGACAGTGAGGGACTTTCTTACAGCCGCCCCCACATTAGTTCTTCAAATTTGATAAATTCTAGTACAATATTACCTCTATATATACATGTACACGTACAAACTTATTTTCAGAAAAGTAGGTGTAGCGTTAGTAGTTACTTTCTTCACTGTGGGTACATTTTCAAAGCGTTCATTTTGCACTTAAAAAAAATTAAAAATGGAAATCAGGTCAATAGACCTACATACAGTACACGATTGATGTAATTGCAAAGGCTTTGGAACTCAGTACAGTACACAGTGACAGAAGCAAGTGTGTGAACTCAACATTTTTGTCATGTATGATGCAGGCCTACGTAGGCCTACATGATCATGGATGCAGGCCTCTTGAAAGGAAGACCCGTAAACAGGGCCCTGTCCCAATTCATAGGGGTATCTTTCACAAAACTTTATCCGGGATATCCGGGGACATACCTAAACAACCGCTTGATTTTATGAGCTGAAATTGCACCAGTATGTTCATTACTTATGAGGTATACTATCCCCTAGGTTGGTAATTGCAGAAAACTCGCTTTTTTCTTGTTTTGAGGAAAAATGTTGCCTTTTTTGTTGCCATTTTCCCACTTAAGATGAATTTTGCCCCACTTGCACAAAACTGACGGCTGTTTCACCACTTTTTGTCACGTCACAGAGTGCAAGCTACACTACCAATGATTTGCCACAAGCAGTGTGTGACACGGTTGTTGCAAATTAGCTGCACATGTCAGTAAAGGACTATTTGTGTAAATATGGTGTGCAGGCATCATGGCATACATATAGTGTGGACTCCTACACAAAAGAAGTCCACATAATGTAGGGTATGCTGGCATTGTGTGGACTCACACACATCCACACAATGTTTTCCCCTCTATGATAAACAGTCTCACAGGCATTTAGTTGTCAAGGTTATCTGTGGCAAACTGAAGAGGAACAGTCCCGGAAATCATCATCAAAAATCCAGCTTGGAGTTACCCTACATGTACATGTAGTTGGAGAAAAAGGAGCATTTTCATAAGTTTCCTTAACCACAGGAGAACAAAGAAATGTCCACACATTGTATGTCAAATGGGTGTACATGCACTGTTAGAATTCTGGAAATACTTATCTGCCATTGAAGTTTGTCAGTCTAGCAAGAAAGACTGGGATTTTGCCTTTTCATCGGTGGTAGTTAATGATGCATCCAAGTGCCTTGCCTTCCCAAATTACAAGACCAGGCATCTCATGCACATGTCAGTATAGGACTATATGTGTAAATGTAGTATACATATGCAATGTTAGAATTCTGGAAATACCAATACTTACATGTAAATACCAAAAATTGCCAGTCTGACAAGGAAGAGGATTTTGCCTTCTCCATCTATGGTAATTAATGCATCCAAATGCCAAGCCTTCCCAAATTGTAAGGCCAGGCATCTCAAGCACGTCAGTAAATTTACATGAACAGTACATGTACATGCAATTTTAGAATTCTGGAAATATGTGTACTTTAATACACGTATACTGAAGTGTGTCAAAACTAGCTTGGCAGATTTTTATTCATGCTGCAGCCATGTGCCTTCCTTCCAGAGTTGACGAGACCGAGTTGACTTGAGACCAAGTTGACCTGACAGAGATGGAGTTGCAAGTTGATTCCAGACCAAGTTGGTGACTTCACACTGATGAGTATCATACAGTGTGTTTACATTGCCAGTTTTGCTGGACCATGCCGGAATCTTTAAAGAGGCAATTCGTAGCGTCTGAGTTGCTCAGACTATTATTAACTGATCTACTACATCATCCTGATGCAGTCGCGCCAAATATCATTTCAAAAATTCAAATATGCACAGCATGCCAAAGTGAAGTTGGGCTAGTCAGAAAAATTTGTTTTTGACTTTGTTCGGCTTACAAATCCCCTCCTTTCTCCATGATTATATGGGGTGGCCTGGTAATATACGAGTATTACAGCTACAAGTGAGCACATCATCACACCTAATGACTTGCTTGGGAGGGATAAACAATTTGCAAGATGTGCGCAAAATCTAAGTGGGCATATAGGCCTACTAAAGTTACTCATGTCATTTCACTGATATGGCCCATGTGCATTTACTGTAGGCATGCCTAGTATTGATCCTAGTCCAATTAGGATTATTCTCAACATGGTCTTTTCCTTTCTCCGTGGTCTCAAGGACTAGGCCTATGAGTATTAACATAGTACAAGTGTGGAATAATAACAGCAAAATACTGTACATTGTGTACTTACTCCATATCACGTAGGTGTGCCAGCGATTCCTCAGAGACGAATTTCTTACCTGTTGTCTTGACTCATACTTTTGAAACAAAGTGGCGAAAATAAACGGATTAAAGCGACCACCATGCGCTCAGTGTATGTCACTCTACGTGCCGGTGTGCCACCGCACCCACGTATTGTTTGCAGTGTGTCTGTCCGTACTGTAGTCAGTCCGCCATATGATATCCGTGTTCTGTAAATGGGTTTTTTCGATGCAGCGCTACCTCACTATGACGTCACTACGTAAAACCATAACACACGTGACGTTCGCGGCCGTTTGCTCAGTTTGTAGATTTTACATGGATACTCTTTCTTGAGGACATACACCTTTTCTTCATTCTGAATTTAATTCATAAACTCTGCCATTTGTACTCTATCGTTATTTGCTTTGTAATACTTTTCAAAGGTTGCTCTGATCCAATCTTGAAAAATGAAAATTGTACAATTGTACATGCTCAAAGTTGTAAGAAACATACTCCTGTCTATTCATACAAAACAAAAGCGAATGCTAATGGTCACGTTAAGGCTAGACGGGCAAAAAGCAAAAACAAAAATCGTTTGGGGCAAATGTTTTTTGTAGAATGTGCATTGCTATTCACACAAACTATTGCATAGTAAATGATTAAAATGGTATACCAAAAGCAAATGCTAGTTTATATCTGCGATCAATATAATGACTAAGTTTCCACATTTGATCTGGATTTCAAAATCTGAAACAGGTAACCTATAAACTAGCCATGAGCCAGTTTCATCAACTGAGCTGCAATAGCCCCCAGCACAAGGCCGACGTATCCGCTAGTCGGACGCAGAGTAGATGCCGCGTTAGTTGGCTTTGCAGTGGTGAAGGGCTCAGTGACGTCACCTTCTGTCACCCTCAAGACGAAGTCGTTAGTCTCTTCCAGGCCCTCTACTGTCATGTACACCGTGCCGATGGGTAGTCCGCCGTCAGTGCCATTCTGACTGGATACCTGTAATAAATATTATAGAAAAACTTTGCTGTATGGAGAAACTGCGTGTAAGGTTTTAAGGATAATGGAAAAAGGACCTACCACTGTATGCTTTGGATAAACTATCCACAAACATGAAAACTAAAGCTTTTTTATAACTAGAATCAACAAAGATCACGTTACAGTACATTATTTTTAGACATACGATTACCATAACCGTATTAGCCTCGACCATAAAAACTGGTGAGACCGAAAAAAAAAACACATGAACAACTTCTTCATGCTGTAGCAATGAAAGCATATTCAACAATTATTGCAAAGAGACGTTAAAGCAACCTTCCTGGCAAAATTTATTTGCGTCAGCTTCATCCACAACGGCTCTGTCAACAGGGATCGTTGCATATTACCAAAAAGAACAGTCAAGAGCCAAAGATAACGAACAATTATCAATCATAGCAATCCCAACGTGATGCTGTCTAACATTGTGCAAGTACATCTCCTAAACGGTTACCAACCACATGAACATTTTTCTACTAAATCACCATCAAGATTTGTTTTGTAAATACATGTACACGCCATACATCAGCAGCCATGCACATTCATCGATTTCCTACACACGAAGCAAGAAACTGGTCATCATCCTAGAAAATCTCAAGGGGTGAGTAAATTGACAAGATCAATCTATGTCACTTGGACAAAAAATTGCAGCATAGACGAGTTAAATCTTGCAAGAAGGATTTTCTGTGTACACAGCGTGAAGGTTTATCTGAGCAGTGTTCTCTGTTCACTCGAGAAGTCTATACCAAGGGATCTTTCAGGCCTCTCGTCCAAATTTCATTCTGCACTCACCTGTCGACGTCGTCGAACAAGACGGCTGCCTTCATTTGCACTTGTTTCTACAGACAGGTTGCCTCGATCTGGGAACTCTTCTGGTCCAATAAAGACCTCCACCCTGCCTTGCCCCTCCGTTGCCTCCAGACGGTAGTCGTAAAACGCATCGTTGGGATTGGGAGTGTCGGTGGAGACGAACATGACGACATTGCCTTCCTCAGCTTCAATGCCTAGGGTGATTCCGTCCATAGGAACGGTCTGCTGCAGAAATTGCTTGTCACCAAGGAGAAGAGTGTTGTTGACCACTGGTCCGCGGATAGGGGTGGGATCTATCCATTCGGAGAGAGAGAGATGATTTTGTTAAATGATCATTCCAAGAAAAAACTCTGACAAGATAAGAAGAGCTAATGGGGACCTTATGGGGGTAAGGGTGACGAACATTAAGTTTATCTCACCATTGCATGTTTTTTCTTCAAGAGCTGCCACAATGTTGTCGATGGCGCCGAAATTGCTGACGTGGAACACGTAGAAATCATTAGGTTTGTTAGCAATGGCGTTCAGCTCGTCATTGTTCACATTATTGGTCACTCCGATGGCGAACATAGTGATGCCCTTTTCACGAGCCCGATCTGCTGGCACAGCTACGGCCTCAGGTCCCTGTGACTGGCCGTCCGTGATGACGACTGCTGCACGTGATACCGCATTGAAATCCGGTCGTGCTCCATTCTCGATAAGAAAGGCCTGACTTTCCATTACATCCAAGGCGGCAACAGTCTGCGTACCACCACCGATGTACTGAATGTTTCCAATCGCCTGCTTTAGAAGTGCTTTGCTCGAGTAGGTGATAAGGTGGAACTCAACCGTAACACTACTGGAATACTTGATGACTCCAACACGGGTCTGGTCAGCGCCGATCTCGAAGGCGTCTACGACATTCGAAACAAAGCTCTTGGTCTTTTCGAAGTTAGCGGATCCAACACTTCCCGAACCGTCCAAAACGAAAACAAGGTCTATGCCTTTGACAGAACATCCTTGAGAGAAGAAATCGTATGAAGAACATTTGTCATAAAAACACACTAGGGCCAACCCAAACCCAATCGATAAGTTCCAGTAAATATGAGACAAACTGTTCAATCAATCAACAGATTTGAAACAAAATAACATTCTTTTTTCCCTCCAAGATTTGTTTTGAGCTATACAAAATGTGTGCATGAATATTTTTTTTCTTTCGAGAAAGATTCTGCTGGGATCGAAACGTAAGGCCCTCCAATTTTATTATTACAACTTTTTTGTGTAGTTCAAATGAACTTTCAATTTTAAATTGAATTATAAACTAAAATGATAGCATTCAATATCCTACCTTCACTCTCAAGATTCTCTACTTTTCTGGTGAAATTTTCCACCGTATCAGACGGTTCGTCGTGGTATCTATCCCTCCAAAACACAGCCTGACTATTCAGTCCCTGTCCGTGCGTAGTAAATTATACAAATTTAAGGGTTAAACGGATTAATTTAAGTCTCATTAATTAAATTAATATTGAACAAGTTTCAATATCCTCCCCCACGCAGGTCCTCAATACACCACGGCTCAGACCCATAAAATTCATCAAAGAGATACACTGTTCAGTGGGATCACAGCATATTTATTTGAATGCTGTTTCCAAAATGGAAACATTCAAACTGTGTCAAAGAGAAAGACAACATTAATATACCTGCGGAACATTTGATTGCAGGCTGTGGAAGAACATTCGTGCAGCGAGTGCCGAGTACAGCGGTCTGCGGCAATCCTCCCACGTGGTTTGATTCCAATCGATCTCCAACAGTGCTTCGATGTCAGCAAAGATGGAACCGTATGTGGGGGTATCGTACATGCCCAGGGTGATGTCGTAGACATTGCGGTCTACTCGCCAGATTCCCCCGTGGTAGTTTGGGTCGGAGTAAGTGAATGCCTCGTTGCCGTCGGTGGTTTCCACCCAGGCGATGCGGCGGATGAACCTGTTGTCCGTCAGTAGGTCCGCGTTTACTGCAGTCAGTCGGTTGATCCGTCCCACCGTGGCTTCCACGACAGTTGTGCCAAATGATCCAGGAGTTGTAGTGAGGTCTTTTTTCTGGAAACAGGTCACCTGAGTGAGCAGGGCGCCAACGCTTGCCGCCACGAGAAGACCTTAAATGGGGGTTCGAAATTTGAGAGAAAATTAAACCTAGACAGCGTGCAATGCAGGTTGACTGAAAGCAAGCCCGCCACTTACCAGCTGCGACCTCTCCACTACAGAAACAAACTTGAAAGTACATACCAAAATCCGAGGGTTGGGGATTAACCGGGCAACAGACCTTTCATTAACTATGCACGCATGCGCACAAATGGCCTTGGTGGCAAGGGCCATTGAAAATGTACAGGGGTGCTATTTTGATCATTTTCTCTCAGGTTTCCTGGCTTTATTCAGTTTTTCCTTCAGAAAACCCCATGGAATCGTTTTGGCTATTATTTTCTTATAAGTGGGATTTTTTCCGCTTAATCTAGTGCGCACAGGAAAAATCACGATTATTAAGTATTTTATAATCCCGCTTAGATTAGGAACTAATCGCAAAAAAAAATTCATGGGATTTCCTGAAGAAAAAAATCATTAAAGCCAGAAAACCTGAGAGAAAACGATCAAAATCGCACCCCTGTACATTTTCAATGGCTCTTGCCGTCAAGGCTATTTGTGCGCATGCGTGCATAGTTGTGAATTTATTAGTGAAAGATCTAGTGAAAAAAGATGTGTTGTGGTGCTCAGGCATGATTACCATACTTAATACATATTCATCATCGGAAGCCGATTCTCGCCTGCCCATCAACACGATCACAATGCCAGTCACTACTTCTGCGCATTGGCCGTGCGAAAATGACACGCTGTTGCAAGTGGGTGTCAGTTTATGAAACTGCGCTATCAACACATGATGACACAACACATTTCTCCTGATGACGAGCAAAGCATACTGCTCGAAACGTCGAGTACCACTGGTTCTTCTCAGAACCGCAAATACTCACAAAAGAGATACGTCCATGGTGCTACCGCAAACCTACTTTCTGTTATGCGCTATCAACAATTTCGGTTTCCACGAACCGGAACTGGGTAGTGCGCGCGCACATCAAGCACTGAAGCAATATAGACTGATTTTCGTTTTCACGAACTGACACGGAAGCTGGTTTGGCAATTCAGCGCAGTAATGGTGTTTTATAGACGACAAAATTGCGTCGTGTCGTCCCGTCGATCCCCACGACGCCACGACGCGGCGCCACGATGCACTGCTACAACGGCTCCGTCGCGTCGTGCCGTCGCATCGTGACTCGTGGGGTCATCTCCTTTCTCGTTACTTTTATGTTGTGTTTAACGCATTGCGTCGTGCCGTTTTGGCGTCGCGTCGTGCCTTCGTGTCGTGCTGTCTCTCCGAGTTAAGTTCCATACCAATAGATACAATTTCATGATCACATATTGTAGGCCCTATGGTTGCAGGCCAGTAAATAAACTGCCATAGCCAACAGTGATAAATACCCGAATTTCAAACAGGAAAAATACTCATGAGTCTCTCAGGCGTTCGAGAGGCACATCAAATCATAACCCATTTTGTGATTTTCATTTTTTTTTCAAATTCCCATTCATTAAACTGATGACTTTAGAGTCACCCCGAAAACCAGTCATGCAGCCCCTTGCCGATTTGAAATATCGATGCCTAAAAATACACCGGTTTTAGTCACCGATTTCTTCCAAATCTCACTTAGACACAAGCTGGCATTTTGTTTTGCTCGCCTAAACTTGTCTTTTAATCTCCAAGATCATGGGCCACAAAAGGGACAATTTTGTAGAGAATCTGAGTGCGTACAAATTGTGATTTGGCCCACGGAAGCAGTTTTCGACCTTTTTACCGGCCTGAAACCCTCGCCCATTTTTTCCAGGACTTGTGACATGCGCCCTCTGTTGGCCGTGATAATCACTAGCCATTTTGCACGACGGCACGATACCCATGACACGACGCGACAGCACGACGGGACGGTCCGACGGGACGACACGACGCGACGGGATCAAGGAACAACACGGCGCGACGGCATGATTCGACGGCACGACGCGGCGCAATTTTGTCTGCTATAAAACACGAGAGCGCAGAGAAAAATGCTTTGAAAGGTTCGACATCAATTTAATCCATCCATAGGCCCTATTTGCTGCCTTGCCCCAAAATTTAATTAACATTTGGTTAATTAAAATTCTTTTTAGCTGGTGGAATAAAGATCGGTATCAGTTCGTGAAAACGAACATGCACGGAGTGCGTGCTGGATGGAAGTGCCGCATTGTACCTCGTATCAGTTTGCGAAAAGAAAAATCGCTCCGTTCTTTTAAACACCTACAAATGAAATCACCTGGCGCACGATCGACTGACTAAGGGTCAGTTTGTAATGTCGGTGGCGATATAATTATGTTCTGTACATGTAGCTAACTTGCTCATGATTGAAAGTTCGTTATGCATGTACTGAAGAGAGCAATTGTAGATTTGTCGCGTTGTAAACCCAAACACTTCCCCAGCTAAATGCATAGTCCAACGTTTTCCTGCACACGATGCCTTGTGTGAAAACAAACATTCATCTCGGGTAGATGGTCAATAATACAGTCCTTTGAGTGCTCACTGTGCGGAAACTACTTGTAGGTAACTACGTTTACTTGTTTTTAAACTGGAAGTTTTTGTCCTTCACCGACATTATATGTAACCGTAGAGGGTTAAGAAATATAATCGGTGAAGAGTGAAAACTCCATGTATGTTGCAGTTATCGAGAGCTTGTGAAAGCTACTCGGAAAGATCTCGAATCTACGACCCCCAGCATATCAGTGCAGACGTTTTACTGCTCAGCCTCGTCATGTAATCTCCCAATATAGAAACTAGCATCTCCTCGAAGCAAAAAAGAAAAAAAGAAATGAATTTTTGGTGTAACCTTTATTCGTTAATACATCTTGTTTTTACGTTCTGTGTGTCTGTACTCTTAATTTCTGTGCACAGCTTTTAGAATGATGCAACAATTAACCCTAACAATCCAAAATCCTCCGATTTTAATATGGTTTTACATACATCCTAGGGGGTAGGGTTGATACCCCGGTATTGTTTGATTGGTAAAGTAATTTTTGTTCCTTTGGTACATTTTATATACTGATTTCTTTCGTTAGTTTTTGCATGTTTTTATACAATCAATTTAAATCCCAGTATCAATTCACTTATTTTTATACATTTTTGCAGTGTCACGTGACTTTTTGTTGCGTAATTTGAGTCTGGTCAGTTGCCTAGTTTTGAATATTTGCCTTTAATGAGACCCCTTTAAGGCAATGCCACGTGGAACATGAAATCGTTATCACTACCTAACTTGGTTTGTTAAGGCCTGGTTTAAAGTATTTAATCCATCTTGATCTTCCACAGTTTACCAGCTAATTTTCTACTTTTTTATGCTGCCACCTGTTTTAAGTTAACCTTTAGGGGCATATTACTTTACGCTTTAGTGGCGTTCTGTTTTCTGAATAATTTGATGGGGCAATCAAATTATTTTTGTATTGCTGACTGTTTTCACTCTGGCGCTGCAACATGGCTACAGTGAGTCGACATGCGTGTAGTACGTGAAAGGGCATGTACCGTAAGTCAATATTATGATTGCATGTATGCTTGCAGTAATGTGTTCGGTATGATAGACTCTGTTTCGATATACCAACAATCACTAATGCCTGATAATTAACACTGGTTACATGAAGGTCAAGAACACAGCAATACTTCGTCATATTCATCGTCTGGACATCAGCCAATCCAACGGCCCCGAGTCCCATCGTGCCCTTTAACTCGCGTGACAAGCCTTCTTCTATAAAGCTCTCTACAACAAGTGTTTCTGTTCTACCAAAATGTCTTTTACGAAAAAGACAAAACGTAGACTAGCCTGCCCATCATCTCCGGTCACAATTCGCTTCGCTCACAAATATTACAGTTTCCTTGCATACCATGAAGAACCCTGACCCTTCATGCTTCAACTTTAAGAGGTGTTTACTGCGGTTCCTCTGATTGGATAAACATCATCCTATCAAATAAGGGAGAGTTCAGGATTTACGAACAAAACACATGTGTACACATCAGGAGCTACTGGATCTTGTCCCAGTCGAACCTGCAAATCAGTTTAATTGTCGACGACCTTACAACGAAATTTTAAAACTACCTTATTTTATTCAGTACACAGGTTGAAATTAATTATTACAATAAGAAAATTGTTCGAATCAATCATTACGATTTTTAGGATAACGTTATTTTTATATATTACCTACATGGACATTTCTTTGGTTTATTTTGTGTTCACGCCACGTTTCAAACTCATACACTGCACGATCTTTGACACATTCTTCAATAATCACTGCCCGGAAGAAATACCAATGAAGAACCCAAATCAGGTTCAGTCATATCCAAACAAAAATGTAATGCGTCTGCGTCCCAGATACAACTTGAACTTCGGCCTCGTACTGTCGATTAGTTTCCTTTCTTTTAGATTCTAACCAACAATCTGTCTTCCCAATTCACGACAATAACAGCAACACCTTACAGTCGAAGTCCAACAAATGAATGGAACTCTGATCATTCTCTGTGCCTAAAATAAGTTTTCACAAACATTGCACATAGGGGGAAACCCCTCCGCCACCCCGTTTTTTCCCGATGTAAAAACATAGGCCTAATAGATAGCCGACAAGGCTTCGTGTCAACATAGATTAGATAGTAAACTGTAACATTTGGTACATGCCATACGGGTCCAGACAATAACCTCTTTTCAAAGACGAACGGTAACTGTATTCTTTGCTGTTGAAATAATTGAATAAAAGTCTTTCCCACCAGATATCTGCATGTGCCTAAAATCAAACATTGCATCAAAGGGGAGCCCCCTAATTTTTCCGATGTAAAAAAACATTCCAGATAACAGAAAACTGCGGCTTTGTGTCAACTTTGCTGTAATTAGGAGTTGGTAAGGTTATACCGTTCCAGAGAAGAACCTATTTTCAAAGACAAACAGTTTAACAGTACATGTAATGAGTATTTCTTTGCTTTGAGAATTATCGAATATGATTCTTTCAGGGAGATTTTACACTGAGAGCGAAAGAACTGCACAATCCGCCCCAAGTTGAAGTGCACCCCAAGCGGCAAAAGAAAGACAGATGGTAATAAGTTTTCCAAGCTGGTTCCCGCACAAATTCTGTGTGTAGTCAAAGTCCATACCTTATTATTAAGGAGTAATTTCGTACGCGTTACGCGTACTTGGCTCGCTCCGCGTGAAACGCGCCATTGATCTCCATTATAAACGCGCACTTACGCGGCGAGTACCCATTGATCTCCTTCTCTATATCAATGCGAGTACCAAAAAAGCACGCCCTCCTTTGTTGTGCTTGGAGCAGATAGGGCGATAAACTGCAATCTTTGCCAATAAATGTATTTGTTCTTAATGTGATCCACAAGGTGTTGTTTGTGACAGTGGCCTGTGAGGGATGCAGCCTTAAGGTCATGTCACGTGAGACATGAAGGCTGTAACCAGCGCATTCGATTTACTTCCACTGCGCTTACACAACTGCGTTCGACGCTAATGTGACAACTCGCGCTTTATATTCGGGGCCTAACCCAAGTAGCCGACCTGGGATGTAAGCCACATCAAAACGCCAAAGCACGTCGCGTACGGTATGTCAACTGGGTCCTGATCAGGGCGATGCGAAGAAAAATTTATTTTATATTATTTATATAAATATATATGTATATATTTAGATCTTTGGCTGTAGCCATAAATTGGTTAATGCCAAGTAAGTTCTGTGAAATGTAAGGCTAGAAATGTGTTTACGGATGTTCGTTTCTCAATTACATAGCTTGGATTCGTGTTGCAAACATTTTAATACCTCTGAAAAGTGTTGGAACTGGGGTACATTTTGCACGGAGGCAAACGGGGCGTTATCGTATTAGTGAGTTTAGTCATAGTAAAGCACCGTCAGCAATTTTTTTCCTGATCTTATTTTTGAGCGGGGGGGGGGCACAGGGCCGTGAGCGGGGAGTCTGTGCCACCCTCCCCTTAGTTGGGGCTCCTTGAGTAACCCAAGCCTGTTCGTTTATTGCCACAATTCGCATGCCCGTCTGAATCTGGGACGACACCGCCGTTTTATTCTGAAACCTGAAATTTTTCAAAGATACCTCTCTTAGACTGCACATTCTCGCCATTCAGTGGTCCGTAAGGCATGCCGTCTATAATGCAGTTGATTTTTCTTGTGAGGCGCCGGCGGCGCGGTATTGCTGTTGTTGAAATTCGAAAGTCAGTATTATTTTGCATTCGAAAGTACCTTGTATGTAAATGCATGTAAACTATAGTGCGAAATATCGCTTTCCATCAAAATATTCCGTTAACATTCTCGTATTATAATGGACCAAATACATATTGCCCGTGACAGAGAGGAAGAGCTGAGGGCCTGGATGACTGGTTGACCGAGTGGGTGGTTTTCTGGCCATTTTTTGTGTTAACCCCGCCCCCCCAGCAAAACAACAAATATATGTAAAGAAAAGTGGAAAATATTTGAAATTTGAAAGGTGCTGTCACGTGCTAAAGGTCTAGCCCCCCCAGCTTTAGAACTGCGCCTGCCTTACGGACCAGGCTCCAATGTCAACGAGGTCTGCATGTGGCTTCGATTTTAAGTCCCCACACGATTGTGTGGGTTTCCCCTGGTTAGATGTTTCGGAGTATTCCTCCCACCTCCGAAACTGAACATTTCCTCATAATTGTCTTTTTCATTGTGAGGGCCCTGAGTTATCAGCTTTCGCTGGACAGGTTACAATCATTAGAGATGGTAATGAATGATAAATAAAATACTGTGTTTAATTGCTAAACACTTTTTTGTAGAGTTAGATAGAAATTAAGGTGTTACACTCCAAAATGCACTTACCTGTACAAAACATGACGTGCGTTCTAATCATTCAATTTGGGTGATGGTGTGTACACAGTTGCACAATCCCCTCCTTGTATCAAAAATCAAACCCAACTCACGGTTATTGAATGCTACCTAAGAGAGCATTTGAGACGAAATAAATCTGAAATTCTTGTTCATGAGTATGATATTAACATGAAGTAGTAATAACGATAAGCTGCATCGAATTTATCACCAGCTGTCATGTCTCGTTTGTACCTGACTGCGTCACTGACACACACCTCTTACGAGCGCTTATTGGCTACATACAGTTTAGGTTTCAGTGAATGGGCGTGGTTTCAGTTGCAAGGAACGTGCATTTAAGGACGTATTTCGTTTAGGGATTGCAACTGCGCAGGCGCGCGCTATTACTTCTTGCGAGCTATATATGCAATCACAGGTATGAAGCCAAACCACGGCTCACAACCATGCACAATGCATGACATCTGGATGCCCAACCATAAAAACTTAACATGTGAAATCAGGCTCCAATAACATTTTCCTTTAAAAAAAAACAATCGCTGTCCTCAATTTCGACTCGGGATTCGAACCCACACCCCATGCATCAATAACCATTATGCTGTAACCGTTTGAGTACCGCAATTCACGCAGGTTGGCTGTGTTTTTACAATTGATATACCGATGAACGGCTGCAACGCGAGTCTAATACACATTGGGCATGCGCAATACAAACACAACCACCGCGGTTTGGCTTCATGGGTACAGTCCACTAATTCAAGCCCCATTGAAAACAGTGTAAAATCAGCACTGTTCACGACCCAATAACATGAACGCCAACATCCCTGAGATTTCTGAAACACAAATGAAATTCTTATCCGACTATTATTTCAATTTCTTTTCAATTTTGGTGGGTTAACCAGTTACATTTTTATTTATTTCCACAAAACAAAATCACCCACAAAAAGTGAAAGTGATTGCAGCCATTTTTCAAGTGGCAACCCTCAACTTTCTCGGGCACTTAAGACCATTTTTCAACCACAGTTTTTAGCCATTCTGCTCTCACATGAAAGCTAAAAGACCCAGGGAGTTTATCCTGGCAAGGATTTATACACAATCTCACCATTTTGGGTGCCAAACAATCTCCTTTTTCAAAAGATACTGTAGGGGCACTTCTAATGCTAATGAGCTGGCCAGAAATTCTCACTTGAATGAGAGGTCTGCACCCTCATACGTATGGTTGCATATAATCTCCTTCTTGTCTCCATTTTATCCGTAGGTGTGCTCATTTATCTTACAAGTCGTGTGTGTAGTTGAAGGGTTATGGAGGGAGTAGCGCGAACAGAGACTCGCCACCAACGTGTCGACATTTCTCATTTCCTTTGTCGATATTAGTCTGGACACCAGACCCGAAGAATTCCGATTTTTCTCATCGAGTCAAGGGTCCAGTTTCATCCAATGTCCACGTGACCGAAACCGGTGAAATCCCTCCAGTTTCCAAAAATAGCCGAAATATTCCGAACTCGTCCCGTCCACATTCGGATAGCTTAGTGGATGTTCGGGGATTTCCACCCGCGCCTGTACTCATAAGGAGACGTATTTGTCTTTTGGGGCGGATCCAGGTTTTTCCAGGGGGGGGGGGTGATCCGGGATTTTCGAAAGTGGGGGGGTGTGTGAACTAAAGCAGTAATGGTAAATGCGGGGCGAGCGCGTAGCACGAAGCCTTTACGGCGTTAGGTCCAGTGCACGCCTAAGGAATTTTAGGATTGGATTGGATTCTAGGCGCTCTGTGATGCAATTTCAGGCAGTATGCGTGACCCCTCTTTGTGCTTCTCCCTCCCTCTTTTTTGGGAGGGGGAGGGGGTTCATTTATTTGTGAAAAAAATCAGCCCCTGGTTGCCCACATGCAACACAAAGTTGCTCCCTTTCATCGTGCTCGTCAATAAGACAAAAGCGGTCATACTGATACAGTTGATTTCCTTTAAACAAGCAGACCCTCGATTACAGTTACTTTCTATGAATAAAACCGAAATGTCACGAGAGCGTGCTCACAAAATTGATCTTTTGTGCTTGGATTACATCAGGGATGTAACTGAAGAGGCTGTGACATGGTGAATACATTCTACATGTTGCGTGTTTGCATGGAGGATTTGTTCCATGGAAATGAAAACCAAAAAAGGGAATTCTTAATCTTTTCTCAAATTATCTGTCGATAAACAGGTCGATGCTTGTTTTCCAGTGGACAAAAGGCTTCAGTAGTGCTTGCACAAATTAGAAAGCGTAAAGATCGGAATTTAAAGGGCCAAGGATGTTCTCGTTTTGTAGCCCCCTTCCCCACTATAAACAAAAATTAGTCATTTTGACTAATAAAAGTTAGTCCAACTCTACGTCTAAAAGAACCAATTTAAATTAGTCAGACTAGTCAGACCGGCCAAAAACTAATTTAAATAAATCAGACAGGCAATATTTTTTCGCCAAAGATAAAACAAATATTAGTCATATTTGAGACCCAACATACCTACATTAGGCATTTTGAGCACAAAATGACTAACTTTTTTTACAGTAGCCCCGTTAAACTATAGCATCCGATTATTGGCTAATACGCGAGCTTTGCGTGGCTCTGGGGTGCCAACGTTTTCAATAATGGCATAATGGGTATGAACAGTTACCAAAACAAAATCAAGAAAAGCATAAATAGTCTCAGATTTTCGGATGATTTTCGACAGACCCTTTCCTTTATGAGAGTCTGATGCGTTTGCAGATCGCCTCGGCACTGATATGGAAAGATGAACACAAAGAGTACTATAGTGATGTTTATCATCATGGAAATGACATGTTATATACGCCATCATTGAGTACAACATAAAGATACACGTAGAAATGCCACCACACACAGCCCAAACGTGTAAATGAACCAAAGCGCAATACATGAAAGCCCATCTCCCAGCGGAACCTGTTGAGATAATTGGCTCGTGCTTATGACGAAGAAATGACCAATCCAGATCCAAATCCGCGCGTAATTAGGAAAAAAATATGCTGTGTGCTTCATGGAATGGTTGAGGCTTCGTCCTATGTTTGCGCAAAATCATTTTGTCCTGTATTATTCAATGTTTTCTTATTAACGACTTCGGTCTAAAATATTGGAACCCGACCCGGTGGCGCTTCATTACATAAACTTACGTTGCAACTCCACGTTCTGTAGATTTATATCGGGTCTTGCTTACATATTGCGACTTAAAGAGTTATATTTATTTTTTTCTTTCATATTTTTCTTTCGTTCGGTTAACATGGATTTTCGTCTGTACAATCAAAACGCAAGTGGAAATTGAAAACATTTTTGAATGGTTTCTGCATTGGTGTATATCATTCATTGGCTTCATATAATAGGCAGGGTTGTGAAAGCGTCGGAAAAGACTTTTAAGTGCCTAGGCCCTACAGTTCAGCTGAATCTGTAAACACGGCTGAAAAGGAACTACTTTTAGTAATCTATAGGGCCTATACCCGGGGACAAAAGGAAACTTCCTCGTAAAACTGCACACATTATTTATAAAGGGGTTTATAGAACATCCTCCAAACGGATGTGCACGACATGTCGGACAGTGTTCTGTAAACAATTCTAGGAATAGCGAAACTTCATTTAACCCTATATATCCTGTGTAAATGATTGAGCGAAATGAGTGTCCCCTTTTGAACCGAACATAACGCAGCCCGGCAATGGATGCGGACGAAAGCCCAACAACTGGCCTTGTTAATATCTCAACAGAGAGTCCACTGTTTCAGTTTGAAGACTATACTCAGCGAGTTCTTGTGGCCTCATCGATCCTCATCATATCCATCTTGGGGACTCTTGGCAACTCGCTTGTGATTCTCGCCGTGTCCTCGTCCAGAAAGCTCCGTACGGACACCAACGTTTTCGTAGTGAACCTCAGTGTGGCGGACCTCCTGACTTCGCTGGTCATTCCCTGGCATGCTGTAGCTCTGCTCAGTAAAGACCACCTGCCAGTCCCTCACGTGGTGTGCGGCGTGGTTGCTGTGGTCATTTTTACAGCTGTCGGCTCCAGCATGTACACGCTGGCTTCCATTGCTCTTAACCGCCTTCTGCTGATCACACGACCGAACACCACCTACCTGAAGATCTACACACCGAAGAAGATTGCCGCATGGTTGGCACTCACGTGGTTCGTCCCATTTATTGCGATCATTTCGCCAATAATCGGGGACTTGGGTAGCGTTGGGTACAACGGTCAGCTCCATTTTTGCGGGCAAGACCGTTTACATCGCAACCAACACAAGTACGACATCATAATAGCCCTTGCGTTATACCCTATTCCACTCACCACCATTACTGTCTGCTACCTATTTATCTGGAAATACTTGCGTCAACATGAGAGGAGGATGGCCGTTGCCCCAAGGGAAACTGAAGGGTCATCTGACGAGAGCCGCGCTGTGGCGTCCAGATCACTGGCCACCATGGACAACCCTCCACCTGTCAGACCACGGCAAAGGATCCGCCGACAGAATGAGATCACCAAGAACATGTTCTACATCGTCTGTGCTTTCATGCTGTGCACAACCCCTTACGCCATTTGTCTCTTCATCACTGAAAGCGATGCACTGAAGCCCTATGCTGCTACTATTGTTTTGATGAACAGCTGCATCAACCCGTTAATATACGCAACAAAACATCGTGACTTTAAGATCGTCTTCCGCTGCATTTTACGTTGCAAGTGGGGCAACATCCCAGAATCTTCGGACTGTCTAAAGACTGTCGGTCAATTACTGTGTGGAAGAGCTGGCTAGTTTGCCTAAAATGTCTGCCTCAATAACTAAGAAAAATCAATCAGCTTCTTGAAATGTTGGCTTTTAGTTTCTTACGTTGGCTACTCACGCATGACTACCTATTTAGCACAAGTTATGAAGAATTTTAAAATTTTATTGTGTACTACATGTATAACCGGATGGGGTAGAAGCTTTAAGAGAGTTCCATTCCAATGCGTTGACAGTATTGGGCTTACAAGTTTTATGTAGAAACTTCTATGCAGTAGAAGAGAGCTTTGATTTCGTTTAATCACTTTCGTTTTTGCTGATTCTCCGAACACAGAAATGTCCATCAGTTTACTATTCCTGTAAATGTAAGAACAATGTCCATATTGGAAGCTGGTATCAAATTGTGCCATGACATTATCCTCCTCAAATTCAGGAAATGGATCCAGTTGGTCAGTCCTAAAAACAACAAAACGTAAACATGCGGATTTCCTTCCGATTTCTCACAGGGTTTTAAGAACTGACCTTGGTTTTACATTGAATATTCTGACGCAAAAATGCGGCATCCGCTTCGACGAGTATTTAGAACTGAGGAAATGCAAGAGGGCGGGCCTGCATGTGTTATTTAGCAAGTGTGCATTCTCGTCCCTAAGTATTAACAAACGTAGAAACTTCGTTGTCATGTAGTTGCATCGGCTCGTGATGAAATCGAGAAAACGTGCAGAGCACGACATTCATACCAAGAGAAAGCACGACAATGAAAGAAGTGTTACCATCAGACAGTTAAAAATTATCTATTGCAGGTCATACAATAATGGCTAGCATTACCAGCTTCTTGATGCGCAACTCAACGGACAACCCGCCATTTGAATTTACCGACAACACCCAGCGAATCATAGTTGGTATTCTTTATCTGACAGTATCTGTACTGGGAATCGTCGGTAATTTTCTGGTGATCCTGGCTGTGCTACTGTCCAGAAAGCTCCGCACGACTACCAACACCTTCGTGGTCAACCTGAGCGTCGCGGACTTGCTGACCTGTTTGGTCATCCCATGGGATGCTGTGGCTTCGCTGGGCAAGAACGGCCTACCAGTTAGTGAATGGGTCTGCGGCGTGGTTGCCGTTGTCCAATTCACCACCGTCGGGTGCAGCATCTTCACGTTGGCCTCGATTGGCCTGAACCGCTTGCTGCTGATCACACAGCCGACTGTCACGTATCGGAAGATCTACACACCCAAGAAGATCGTTATCTGGCTGACACTGACTTGGCTCATCCCACTTCTCGTCACAGCCATACCACCATCATTAAACATAGGCGCGGTTGGCTACAACGCCAGGTATCGGTTTTGTGGTTCAGTTACCTCGCATCCATTATACAACACCTATAACATCATTATAGGTTCGGTCCTATACCCCACGCCTTTCATCATCATAATCTGCTACGTCCTCATCTGGAGACACATATACCGCCATTCCAAGAGGCTTCGTAATCCCGCAGCATCGGTTCAATTCATGGCCAGCGAATCCTCGCAGTCCCAGTCAGCAATCCCCACAACGACGGTAGCGAGTGCTGGCAGAGCCCAGAACTCTAGCATTACGCGCTACCAGACTGACATCACTAAGAATGTGTTCTACATCATCTGCGCCTTTGTTGTGTGTCTGGGGCCTTTTGCCGTGTGCCCGTCCTTTAGAGGATGCGACCCAGCTGTACCCTATACAGCTGCCATCTTATTTGCCAACAGTTGCATCAACCCTTTGCTATCAAGCACCGTGACTTTAAGAGCGTTTTCAAGTGCATTGTACGTAGGCAATGGGAAAAAATCCCACAACCCTCTGGCTTTTTGAAGAACCTACGACAAACTTAGCCCTCGTCTGATTTGCTAGCTGATTGTGGTAAGGAGACTGTTTCATCATGCAGGCCTAAATACTGGGCTGCAAGTCGCAAGTCTACGAACGGAGATCACAGTGTAAACTTTGAGTCAGTCAACTGTGACCATTTCCAAACAGCGTGTTGAAAACAGTGTTTATGCTGGCCAAGATTCTACATGTACTGACTAAGGCACCTGCATGCCATTCGAAGCACAGCTTACGGTAATAAAAGGACATGTCGACCAAGACAACTCTTCAATTACCCACCATTTGGGCTACCAAAGTAAAAAAAAGGTCAACTTTTGCTGGCAAAGGATTTACCTCATACTAGCGCGAAAAGAGAATATATTTTTATTTAGTATTCATTGTGTTCTACTAAAATTACCCGTTGGGAGACGCGATCTAGTAATTCTGTGGCATACAGCGGACATCGGTCATAAGGGAAACAAACATCTCCCGAAAGTTACAATTACTTGGAGGACGCAAAATCTTACCGTCGCATACATGACACAGACTGATAGATCGTGGTCAAAAACCTAAATACACGACCAGCAAGGTCAGGATAGGATAATAGAATCAAGATATTGGGTTAGGTGTCATCAAACTTTGGAAAAAAAATGTGTACGTTCCGAAGGGAATACCTTCCTGAGGTAATCTCTGAGGTAATTATTACTTCGCGTATTTCGTGTTTTCATTGCTCCTTGAAATATTTTACCTCGGTAAATCATTTTATTAAATGTAGCATTCGTACCGACGGTTAGCAACAGTTACTTTGATTTCCAATCATGGGCAAAAATCATATTGACATAACAATTGAAACATATAGGCGAACAATAGAAACAATGGATTTTTAAAAGACAGAAAAGTATGGAAAAAATGGGCTTAATTCTCCGTCCAAACGTGACTTCTATACTAGAGTCATCGTATAGAAATTAGAGCATGGCCCACGTCCTGTGCTATTTTGCTGCCTTCCTTAACTGGTCAAGGTGCGTGAATAAGTTCCGGGACTAAAACGAAGAATCGCTGTCTGTGAAGATTACGTTAGGATGTGCCGAATATTCGATTGATTATCGAATATTCGAATGTTATTTTCCGATTTTGAATATTCAAATCCAAAAGTCATGAAAAGGATAATTTTCTTTTGTTTTAAATGAGAAAAATTTGCACTATGGAGGCATGTTTCAAGTGGATTCAATTGAAAAGCGACAGAAATCTTAAAATTCAAAAAATAAATTATTCATTAAATTTAAAAGTAACAGAAATTTTCAACAGCTAGGGCAACAAATATTGTTCATCTGTTAAATCTTGCTAAATCGTGGCTGGAGATATTACCAGAAGTGAAAAGCTATTATAGTGATTAAAATGTACAATTGTGTGTTATTCGACTGACTTTGTATATGGTTTGTTCATCAACAATCTGGTTGGTACGACCGAATATTTGGATTTTTGATCGAATTTCAAGGTTGAATGTTCGAATAGTGAATTATTCGAATTGACCCAGTCCTAGTGTTGAAAATACGTATTATAATCAACAACGTACTACTCGTACGTTTATATTTTACTTTTGTGCAGTTGATACATCGGTCTCAATTGGTTCATTTGTCATTTTCTGTAGATCGTTATTTTCTCTCGAATGTACGTTATTTTAAACGTGGACAATTGGTCGACTTTTCATGAAGAATAATTGGATTTAACAAAACGCATGATATTTCTTAAAGGGTAGCTGCCATCAATGTTTTTATCACAAACCTGTAAAATGCACCTTTGTGCCTCAGTAAACCTTACACGTTTTCAACTTTTGTTTCACTATTTCAAAGGATATATTAATGCTTTTTGGGGGGTTTTATGCTATTTCCATATTCACGAGAAAAATTGTGATGTCATCTCAGGAAGAAGCCTCAATGTTACATAGGTTTGTACCAAAAATGTCCTCTTTTTACGTAGGTTTTCCTAGACTTAGCTTTCTCTTCTTTGCTGATCCAATGTTGTTCATGTGCATAGCAATAAGAAACTATCAATCCCTCTGAGAAATGTTTCCACTGAGTAACTTCTGGGTTCCCACTTTCAACAGACACACCTATGCACTGAACCATATTTTCTCTAGATGACGTCACAGCAACAACGCCCTCAGTTGTCCGGAAAAACAAGAATAATTTTGATTGCTTAAAAGTGTGCGCTTTTCAATGTATTTAACCAAATAGGAGTGTGTAAGAGTTTTCACACATTGAAAAAAATATAAAGATGCAGAAAAATTTTGTCGAAGAAAAATTCATTGCAGCTACACTTTAAAGCAATGTATATCATATAATAATGAAAGATACAAAAACACCAAAATCCTAGGACATGACAAACAGTACAACTTTCACAGGAGTTGACAAAACACGTGCAAAAGAAAACAAAATATAAGCAACTCAGGAAAATAAAATTTCAACCAACGAAATTTAATTAAATTGTTTTCTACCACCAATGGAAAACAAACATGACATGCAAACCGAGCAAACAAAATCACTATAGCTTGAACATGTAACATAAATATCAATGAAGCAAAATACTGATTGCATATAAAAGTGAGAAAATGAATGTCAACGGTAAAACAGCGACACTAACAATGGAGACAAACTCTCAAGTCCTTTGTAACAGAAGATTGCATCCACAGATTAAAAGAGTTGATGTAAAAGTAAAACCTTTTTTTCCTGAACCTGATTTTTTTTTATATTTTACGAATACAACATTTTCCGTCGAGTTTTTTACATGTAGTTTACAGAATTGGAAAGGTTGCAAGAGCATAATCTTTAATGTACATGTATGTGTGTTGGAATAAAAGTTTGATCGTATGTTTCCCCTGATTATAAAACCGCACACCTTTGAAATACTTATCTGTAGTCCTATACTAGGACAAACTGAAACTTGAGCACATGCAATACATAACCTACAATCTTGTGCAGACTTCCACCCAAGGTACATGTAAATGCTAAGGAAATGTTTCATGTAATTCTACTAATAATTTTATGAGGACTGCTTTGGACCCATTTGTTTCCATAAACCGCCATTGTCCATGTAATGCAAAATATACTTTACTGTCATAGATGAATGAATGTCAAATAAAATGAATACATGTAGATGCAACAGTAATTATTTCTCAAGAAGCCTATTAAAGCCACTCACTAAGTTTTTATGTTGGTTACTTCTGAGTGTAATGGAGAAAAAAATACTGATTCCAAGTGATTATACTTTCAATAAAGATACTTTTATGAGTTGCAGGAGATGCCCAAGGGTACTGATCGTTGCCTATCTTTCATTACATGCAGTCAACTTCAAAAAAAAAAGGCAAGCATACTCATACAAATAAATAACATGTAATGCATAACTCTATTATCTTTGGTTGTATAAATGCACGGGTACATGTACTTCTTTTCCATCAAAACGGGAAAACAAACTACGCAGTCCATCATCCATTCACACTGTAGAGAAAGTGTGACCTAGTTTTGAGCAAAACTTCTGTAAGAACAATGCACCTGTTCTAAGTTGCTTCTGCGTCATCTGTAAACAAACAATTTTGCTCACCTTGAACTTGATCCACATCTTTCACACTGCTCCCGTGCATCTTTGTTACCTCTACTTAGTGGACTGGCCAGGCACCACGCCAGAGAGGTCCATCAATGTCTTGATGTCATTGATGCGAGCCTGTTGTCTCTCCTCTGTGGTGAGTTTCTTGCTAAAGGCCCTGGCAATCAGCTTGCGTTTCTTGTCCTGCAGTTCCAGCATACGCTCCTCTATGGAGTCCTTCACAATGAACTGATGTTCCAAATAAAGAACAATCTTTGAAATACAGTGAAACACATACCAGACTGTTAAACTGTTAGTTTCTTTGGGCAATGAAAGTGTAAGAATTTGAATAATCTGAGATTCTCCCTTGCTCATTCCTTGTGATTACTAGTCCACTGAAAAACCTCTTTCACAAACAGCAGTCATGTTGGCTACAGCACAGTTGCACATTTACGCACATTTCTGTCCTTTGCTAGACCTTGGGATCCATCTCCTCGCATTTGGTACATGTACATGTACCTCCAAAAGACCACGTATTGCCCTCAATAGGTCCTGCATGAAGCCTGCGAATTTTGTTACTTGAGCCATTTTTCAAGTCCTATTCTGTGTTCCTGGTTTGTAGTGATTTGGGTTTTATTGGGGTCAATATACATTACATGAACATCAAATCGTGTCATCACATTAGCCCAAATGAAAAGATCTTTTCATTTGGTCTTAATATTATGGCCTACAATATTTCAGAAGGTCAGAATTCAAATCTTCAAAAGCAAAGCTGAGGTTTGGGGAAGTTTTGATGGCTGTATAACTGTTTCATGCATCGTGGATTGTCAACTGTTACTTGGAAATCAATGACTGTGTAGGCATACTGTCTTCACATACATTGTAAGTCAGATTTTTGCTCAAGTCGCATGAAATTCAGTCCCACTGGATCCGACTTATCCGAGGTTTAACACATCTGTTCAAGTACATTTATTTTCTTATCTTGCCAGCAAGCTTATCTGATACTTCATAAGAATGTAAGGCAAAATGTACGAATCGTTCTGACCTTGGTGATAACAACGTCTTTGGTTTGTCCGAGTCGATGGCAACGATCAAAACACTGATCTTCAGCTGCAGGATTCCAGGCCTGAAAATGTTGAGGGAAAAGTTGGCTTACAGGTATTTTTACCTAAGTCCTTATGCAAACTGATGTCTCTTTCATCCATTAAGGGATTGTTAGTGCTAAACAGAGGTATTGCACTCCATGATTTTTCCAATGGTTCCTTGCCATATTAAAGGAACTGCAAGGGGCCTATTAGGCCTCTGCTGTTCTCCAGGACAGTTTTGTCCTGCCATGAAGTCAGGCAGGGTGAGATGACATCTTAACAGTAGAATAAATTTGGATAAATAAATTATAAACGTACATGGTGAGGGTAAATGCGAAAGGCAGATACATTAATACATGTACCCTTCCACAAGCCATCTTGACGATGACTGTACATACAAAGTCAGCGTCATGCATGACCACAGGATCTGCACACCTGCACCAAGTCTCAGAATGACCGAATGTGAAACACAAGAGTTTGGTAACATTTCAGTTCTTCTCCAACATTCACAACACTAGTCAATGGATATACTGACTCCTGTGCCTTTGCAAAGCAAAGACATAAAAAGAACAGGATACACATGTACTGGCAGCAAAAACATCTTGCCAGAATGAAACCAAGACAATTTACAAAAGCATTCCACCATCCAGTGCTTAAAACACTCTGTGTATTAACACAAGATACTTGGCAACATTTTTTCTGATCACATAAGGGGCTTACAGGATCCAGCAGATACAGTCTAGTTGCAGCTGTGAGGTTGATTCCAATGCCCCCTGCCTTGAGCGATAAGAGCATGACAGTGGGAGAGTTTGGCTTGGGACTGCAGAATTCCCCCATGGACTCGGCTCGACGCTTGGCAGACATACTACCGTCAAGTCGCACGAACTTGAAACTACTGTCTCTATTTCAATAATCAGGATAATCAACCACAAATGAGCTATTGTCCAATAGACAGTCTCTCTACAAAATGTTGACATGAAACCAAAACTGTGATAATTTAATGTTACCTATTCAATTGGCTCAAACAGGTTTTGAACAAATCACAGGTTAGCTTCTGTATGAATTTAAGCATTGATCTTGTGCACAGTTTCGTTGCAGAAGTTGTGAAATTAATCTAATGACTCTTAATCCCTGCACAAACCATAGGACCTAAGATAAGACAAGTGATACTCGTAAAACCTTGACCTCTATCTGTGCACTAGTTTTCAAGTGTCACTCCAGCAAATGAATCAAACTTAAGGAAAATGGAGGAATAAAAAACAAAACTTTATTCACTGATTTTAAGGTTTATACAAATTGATGATATTTGATGTCTAGATGTTATAAAATAATGATTGCATAGAAGTTGTTTGAGGATGCAACACTTTGACATCTTCACTTTTTTCAAATGTATAGCCCAAAAGTACAAAGACTTTTACTGCAGTATTTCACATTCTTGTCATATCACAAAATGCCAACTTGAAACAACCATAATCTGCCAATGGAACATCCGAACGAAGGGCAGCAGACAGTACTACATGTATAAGGAAAACTGATTTTCTTTCCGTTTCCAGCAAATCCCACTGGTGACCTGTGCCTTGTTCTGCCTCATTCTGCCGGAACACAAATGTGCTTGTGATTGGTTCCCAGTGGCTTTACCAATATTTTCTGCTGTAACACCTGCGACAATGCCCAAAGTAGACAAGGCAGCTGGGATGTGCAATGTCATGAAGCTGCTTAAGCACAAATTTATTTTTCAGCACAGACTCAATTCATGTCAACTGCAAAAAAAACTGGTTTAAACAGTTTTTGGATATGTACTTCTTGTGACTGATTCCAAAGCTATTTTTTGCCTCGTAACTGAATTCACTGAGTGGTATTTTCTGCTTTCTAGTTCCTTGATACTTGGACCATAGATGCCTCACCTTAGAGGTTTCTCCACAAGGTCAAGCAAGCTGGTGAACTGTGAAACCACTACACTCTTTGTAGTTGGGTCCTTGTCTCTTTCTTTAATTAGGCATTCCATTACAGCATCAACCTGAAAAACAGGTGAAAACAGCAACTGAGGGGATAGTTAAAACAAAAAAAACCAGATAAACATTTCATTTTCTTCACAATTGTGAGATTCTCTTACAAAGGATCTCCATGGTTATACTAAGGCTTTTCCACATACACTGCCCACTGTCTTTACCCTTTCAAAAAAGACACACTATCTTGCAGCTGCAGCAGGGTTAAATCCTTAATTTCAACGTCAGAAAAGATATAGGCGGCCTCAATCAACACTATTGCACAAACTGCCTCTAATCCTCGCAACAACTCACACCTAGATATGTTGCCACCATAGTGTTCTTGTTGATCTTGGGAAAACTACCTTGTCCCTTATTAATGCGGGAAAGAGTAAGTACATACAATGATATTACCACAAGTCATCTACTTCAGTACATCTCCTGACACAAGTAGTGAAGCATGTCTGATTTATTGTCATGTATCCTATATCCATACCAGTTGACAAAATAAAAAATAAATTGGCATCTTATTACTAGTTGGCTGAAGTATACATCTACCAAACTAAAAACTATCAAGCTCAAACTACACCAAGTCAGAGCTAGTTCTTAATATTTATTGGTTGGTTTAATAGTTACTGGAGACCCATTGTCCAAAACAGCTGGGTATCTCAGTACATGCACTTTAACCCCAACAGTCCCAAATCCTCCAATTTCAATATGATTTTACACCCACCCTTGGGGATTAGGGTTAATCCCTTTTATAAATCTGATAAAAACAAATGCTTGTGTTTATTTGTTCATTTATTTCCATTCATATCTTCAAACTTTTGCGTACTGTTAGATGAAACCCATCATAACCAATACAATGTCAAACATACAGTGTAGAGATACTCAACAAAGTTAATTCCCAAGTACTCTACTCTGTTATCGCATAAAATACTCAAACCAAAACTAGATCACAGCAAATGGTCAGCAAATCTACTCAAACTGAAGGATATTTGGTTGCAAACACATGTTACCGATGGTTTCCTCTCACTGTTCCTCTTCATTCAGCTACAAATAAACCCATCCCTAATTGTTTCCCTCAAGCTGTTTTTTAGGGAGAGGACAACCCAGTGTGGACCCATCCACCCTGAGCTGGACCAAGAGAGGGTACACTTTTCCAAGCAACAGGGCCCCTTTGGTCAGAACTGCACTTCACTAATTCCCAAAGGATGAGGAAATGCATGCATCACAGTCGCATCCCAACTAGTAAAATGAACACTCCCAACCAACACGGCTCTATTCAACCAATGAGGGGGTGCTTCTGCTCAGGGCGGATAGTCCACAAAAGGTTCATGCCGTCCCTATTATGAGCACGTGTTTTGTTCTCATGTCCACACAAGACCCACGTACCGTATGTAAACAAACTCACCTTGGCACTGGAGTGCCAGTCAGCATCGACTGGCTGTTGTTTGTCTTGCTGGACCTCTCGCGGCACTTCCACCAAGGTCTCCTTGCTGATGTTCCCACGACAGAGTGGGCACTTTGCAGAAACCTGTACATCAATCAAACACATCACGTTTGAGCACAAAATAGCAATGAACCATTCAGGAACCTGAGAAACAATTACACTCAGTTTTGTCTCCTTTACAAACCAGCTTGCATTTTATACAATGAAGGATAAAAGAATTTTAGCAAACATTTGTGTCCATGACAAAATAAAACAACGAAGCACTTCATGTCAAATTTCCGGAGATACGCAAAAAAGAGAGAATACAAATAACTGTCACGCAACACCAAAGAGATAAAAACATCTTACCCCAGTATTGATGACCTCACTAATGCAACGTATGCAGAAGACATGAGCACAAGGTGTAATGACAGGCCCACGTAGAGAATCCAGACAGATGCAACACTCCTAACACACCAGACATTGGAAAATGTACATTGTTGTGTTACAAAGAACAAATGTTCTCATTTTTATGTGCTTGGTGCAACAGCTGCTCTTCATTCATCCTCGCCACTTTTGGGAGTGGGTATTGGCTAATTCCTCTTTATAGGATTTTGTGAAGGATGTACAGGCCCTCCAAAGCCTTGTGGGTAATTTATAACCTTGATTAATGCATGTGCAGTCTTCAAACATGTTGTGGTGCTCACAAATTTGTTTACTAGTGTTATTGCTGGGATATCTTTTCTCCCAGGAGAAATCAAGTAAATTATGCTTCATTGCCTGTTGAAGGGCAGTGAGCGTGACCAAACTGTTGCTCTTTTAAAATGTAGGAACAACTGCAGGGTAAAGACAGTCTGGAAACATCTCTGGCACATGCCTTAAGATCCGATGCACTTAAAGCTGTACTTGAAAGCATACAGCTTGTTCGTGGAATAATGGAAATGTGAAGGAACTGAGTGCAGAGAATTGGCCAATCGATTCAACTGAATTGGTTACAGGTCATTCTGCCAGGGAATCCATAAATACTGTGTCCATAGGCAAGACAGTTTACTTAAAATTCCCATCAAACCTCATCTGCTCCCTGACTGAGTACTGCCAGCAAGGTTTCAACAAGTTTCTTCTTCAACTCGTCCTGGCCTTCCCCTCCTTCAGCATTCGCGGCTGTGTACATTAAAGCAAAAAAGGGAGAATGAGATTCTTAAAACAATTTTTCATTTCCAAATGATTATTTGAAACCAAAGTACAGACTACATTCAAAATATTTGAAATAATACTAGACCTTGGTACTTCAAAATCTTCTGAAAAGCTGAAAAAATTAAACATATGCACAAAATGTGCAAAACAGATCTATTCAAACACATACAGAAACAAGAGTTTTTAAAATGATGTGAAACCATTAGAAACATATACAACCCAATTTCAAACTATCTTTTGCATACACCTCCTAACAAAACTCTGCACTTTAATTATAATTTGTAATACTGAAACATGTAAAAAAAAGATTCTTATGAAGTCAGAAATTTGCTCTCCTGAATCCAATTTTAACATATGTGCTTGCTCTATGGTAACACGACACTATAGGTGAACGCACACGGGATGGTGCAGGAGGGATCAAGTACCTTCTTTGAGAGCTACAGCTGCAGCAATCAGAGCTGGATGACAGCATAATTGGCGAAGGCGCAACAGAATGGCCAGGACATTGCCGTAATTGGCCAACAGAGTTCCTGTGTTGAAATACCTATTAGTATGAAAGTATTAAAGGGGAGGTTCAATTATGTGAAATGTTCATGAAGTTCAATCTATCTGGGTTAGGCAAAGGGGTTTTTGTTAATGTATGATTTTTTTTTAATCTTTATGATATTCTGATTACGTCTATTAAAAAATGCAAAGATCAAATTCTTTCCTTGCAACAAGCCAACTAAAGACTTAGTGTTGTTGGTGATTCAATCACTAACACAAGCAGAGATGCCAACTTTTCAAAACGGAAAAGTGAAATCCTATTGCACGATTCCAAATTACTTACCATACATTTCAACAGAAATACATTCAAACCTTATGAGTTGACATTGGGCAAAGCAAGTCCAGTTGCTCACCAAAAATCCAAGAATCAAATCCTTGATAGTCTTCCATCCTGGTCAACTTTAGCACAATCATGACATTCAAGATGATACTACACGTGTAAGTGTGTAACGATATCAATATACCGTACATGTGCAGTGCATGGACGCACACAATCACCTTGCAAATGAAGTGCAATCGTGCCAGTTCGCCCCTGTTCATCATAGCGTTGATTGGGGCGAATGGATGATTCAACCACGGACAAAACAAATTATCAAAGTTACGCCTAAATCATACAAGTTGGCATCTCTGCACAAGTCCAATTTTGAAAATTCCTATTTCACATTGGAATGCCCAATAACTGCTATAAAACAATTGGTATTGTAAAGAAAATGTTACTCCCAAGTCAGTGAAAACCGAGTACATTGTCAAATGTCAATCACTTCTATACTTGCTGATTTCATGTTCTTACATCTTCACAACGACTTCAGTCTGTATGCTGTAAGTGTAGAATGTACGATATTTTATACCCTTTATGATGGTAGATTATCGATTCCCCTGATTAACCTCAGAATTCACCCATTATCACGTATGGTACAATTATGCCTACTCTCTAATCTCCAAGCCATATCACCAACACCATTAAGGTGTTCACATTATCTTTTTCTCACACTCCCTGTCTTTTAAATTACATCTAATTGCTGCCACTCAAGCTTATAGGCATACCGAAAGGTACTGTTCAAATTGATTTCAAATACTGGAAATCACTGCCAAAAAAGCTCTCTAAGCTGTCATGGTGTATAATTTGTTTTCATTAAAATTCAAGTGAAATTAAGAAAAATAAAAGGGAACATGTACATAACGCCAAGTCCAACAGGACAAAAAAGCTGAATTTCAGGGTCAACAACAAAACAAAAAAGCTGAAATCAGCTGATACGCTGAAACCTCACACCCCTGTGATTTAAGAGATAATGGCCTAATATTACATTGAGGAGATCCTTGAAGGTCAACCCTGACAACTTACTTGCCAATGGCCAACTTTCCTTCCTTTGCCATGCTGTCATACACCACTCGCTCATCAGCCGAAAGCTCCACCTTTTGTACAAAGACCGACTTGGCTGGCAGGTCAACCAGGAGTTGACCATTGACCTTCTGGGTCTTGGTGCGGCGCAAGGCAATCTGTTCCATCAGCTGAGATATTCGTCTGCATTTCAAAGACAATTGCGATTTCACATCAACCTAATTACATGTATCTCTGAAATTTCAACTACTGATATTGTTCAACTCTAACAGTTCTCAATCCTCCAACTAATGAAGGAGTGAGGACTGTTGGGTTAATTTCATTAAAATTAATCAGATGTAAGAAAGACATTCCTCATATTATCACTCTATGACCTTGACAAAAAGTACCGAAAATGAAAAACTCAATTTCAAACACTGTACAAAGTGTAAAACACTCAATTTCCAGAAATTTCTTGTTCCATTTTCAAGATAAGGCACTGGGTCTCAGTGTATTTGAAGAGATACATGAGTCACAAATTGAGCAGAGGATTAAAGAGTCAAACAGATTACCTCACAGCAGATTTGTCGCCTTGGTTGATGGGCCTAACGATGGTTCGCTGCCACCACATCCTGTCAGACTTGAAAGGCTCCAGGCCAAGAAAGGCCATCAGGGGCCACAGGTCCTTGATGCTGTTCTGGATGGGGGTTCCTGTTCAAGCATGAATGTCCAAAGGACTGATGTGACATGGTGCTTGTGTCCTTGAGCAAGACAAGCAACTAACTCTTGACAGTAAAGCCTGATTTCCATATTGACGTAAGAAACGCACAGAGCAACGTAATAAAGATGTAGACTATACTGCAGACATGTGGAAACATATCAAGCGGAGGTGTTGCCGGCAACACAGACAAATGCAAACCAGCCAACAATCAGCAAAGTTGAGCCGGGTTCAACTTTGCCGACTGTACAGTCAGTCTAAAAACACATTTTCCATGATAAATCACAGAGCTTCGGATGCCATTTTGTTTCAATTCTTGGGTGGAATGACATCATACACTGTCTCTTCAGTCCATGTCTGGGTCTTTAACTCTTGCATTCTGTCTGCAATGGTCTGCGTTACAAACAACCAGATAGAACCCAGGCTTAACTCATACTTCACCTTGTAATCCTCTGAGACTGAAAACAGCTGAGAGTATGCAGTACATATGTGTACTTCACAAGGGATTTTAAGAGACTTTGTTAATATAGAGTGTTTACATATTTGAATGAATAGACCTGTAACACAATGATGTCATGATTTGTTTACATGTTGGCTTTCCTGTGGCAGAGAGGTGGGACACAATGCACCGAGTTCCCGTAGGAAAATGCACATGTCTAAGCAAAGCTTAAGTTTTGGGCCTATAGACTAATCCGATTAGACGGCATAACTGCGGTAGCACCGCACTCACACACAAATTCTTAAGCTTGACGCACACGTGCATTTGGCATATCATGACACCCTGACGGTCGAACAGGCATATAACGCGCACGTATCACCTGTCCACGAACGTTGTGCCACCGCAGTAATGCCTTCTAATTCTGATGGTGGAATTACACTATTGGTCGCAAAAATATGCCGTACTCTCCGAAATGATCATGTGCAACGTCTCTTAGTATCAGGCAGGTTTTGTTTGACAAGCCCTTTTGAATCACGGCATGCACAACAAGAGGGTGTTGTTTGAAGTGGGTAAATTTGGAGTAAGCACACAAGATTTGACCAAAACCAGATAGCATCATCCTATTGTGCTCACCATACATGCAGAAGAATGGAGACAAGCAGAAGTGATTTGTTTTTAGACTCAAAATAAGCCAGTGGATGTTTCAAGGCATGAGGGGTATGTACATGTATTCCCACCTGTCAGAATCCATTTACGTTGGGCTTTCAGTTCCAATACAGCCTTCGTCTGCAGAGCACTGGGGTTGCGTATCGTGTGGCCCTCGTCTAAGACAACTCTCAACCAATCCACGTTGTGCAGGGGACTTTTGCCCTACCCAATCAAACATTTAGTGAGATCAAGTCCAATGTGTACACTGCCTCACAAGGAGAATGTGATTTTACATGTTACTTCTCTTCTACATACCAGTAAACAAAATGCAAGTTGATGCTGCTAAAAGATATGGTGTCGATTGTGTTCAAAGCATAACACACTCATCCATTGCTGCGACAAATGCAAAAACACTCCACAATCTGCATGTACATGTAAGTCCATGGCCTCTTAAAAGCAAGGGTCTTTTATAAAGGTCACAATAAAAGGATTCACACCAGTGGCCACCTCCAATCATAAAAACTGCAGAAAGTGGCTACAGGTCCACATTAACCACTTGCTGCCAGGTGCAATTTGAATTTGGATGATGTTTACTTGGGGGATTTTCAAGATTTTCCGTTTTCAAAATTCTTTAAAAAATTATAACTTCATTTACTGGACGTTTACACCCACACGAAGGACTTTCTGGTGGCTACTCTAATCTGACAGACATCTATTGATGCCAAAGTACATGTATTTCAGTCAGGCCTGCAGCCTTGTAAAAAGAGCCCAGATTGTGCAGTGTTATGTAAGTTTCTTTTGTTCCCGAAACCGGCACAGTGCACTGCTGGCGTCTTTTCAATACGGGCCAGATTAGCGTGCAGCAGTATTGTATCGCTCATCGCTGGAGTACTTTTGTCCCCGGTGGTAGTCCGCTTGCGCTGAATGCCACAAATAGGGGTAAAAAAGGACAGATTTCCTCAGATATTGACAACTAAAAAACTGTTGCCAATTCCAAGCAGCTCAGTCTGTTGTGCCAAGTACGGTCTTTTGTTACAAGGCCCAGTTCTTTTGTCCGGTTTCGAGCTCCCGGCTTTGTGTATTCAGCCTTTGTGCCTGAAACCGGGTCCCTTGGCAGCAAGTGGTTAAATGGAAATGTTGCATATTCTAATGTTGAACACCAACCAGAAGCAATATGAATCACACGGTATTTGAGTTGTTTAAATCTTGTTCTCCAGTGCAGAACTTTGGCAGCTGATCAACATTAGCAGCTCCATGAAAAATGACCTATCTTGGGACAACGGGCCAGTAACTAGTAGACATTGTACATATTCCCTACACACTACCAATGCTCTTATAGTCTGTCACTCTTCCTGAAGGACACATAAGCAATTAAGAAGCAGAGCATTCCTCACAAGATGAAAGTATGTACACATCCAAATGAAAACTCGTCAAGTGCACCCCACCCCATAAGCATATAAAAAACCATGTGCCTTTTATGTCTTTTCTTGGAGCAACAGTGAATAGGTCAAATATCCCTACCTCAAGTCTTTTCACTGAAGGAAACCTGAATGGTGAGCCTAAAAGCATTCTTACCTTCTTTGTCTTGTATTCGTTTGCCAGGGTGCTATAGGTGGTAATGACGACATCTTTGCTGACAAGCTTGGAATGGCTCTTCGCTCTGTCCGAGCCATAGTGAGTGTAAACGTCCAGGTCAACGTCGGGCCTCACATGCTCCTCGAATTGGTTCTGAAAAGATGTTTTCCCGGAAGAAAGAAAAGGAAAGCCTTTAATAGCATCTTTACAGTGAAGTAAGTAGTCCACGATTTCGGACTCAAACAAAAGTTTAACAATTAAAAACTGTAGCACTAATGTGTGCGCTGTAGTGTAGTATTTCTCATCCTGCCTTATACTGAGAAAAGGGCACATAATGTAATTCAAAGATTTTCAAAAAATTCTCACAAACAATTGAGTCTTAAAACCGAAAATACTATCTTGTTGTCAAAGAGCATCCCAACACCTGTGAACAGCCACTATCAAGCATCAAGGTAAAGCTTTGTCACAAAGACAGCGTACAGAACAAAAGAGAAAATTCCACACATTGAGAGATAAACCACTTGCCAATGGTATTATTCCACGTTACACTTGTCCCAGGGACATTATCATTTTGGGGTGGAAAAGTACTGCTTTTTTAACTTCATAACTTGCAGCGGGGGCACCAAAAACAGGTAAACCTGCAATTCATGTCAGACTAATCGTCAAATGAGCCTGAACATCAGGATAATAATGGCAGCACTAATCTTGATCATGTTCATTTGTTTCCTATAATTTTCTAAGGAAAAGCAGCGATGAGGTACAGTGTCAAGACAAGCAATGACATGAAAGAACAGCACCACTCACCAGCCAGTTACTAATCACCGACAGCGGGCACAGGATCAGGGTGGGCCTGGGCCCCTTGGGAGGTCCACCACCATCACTAGAGGTCCCTGCTATGGCCTGAGATAGGGATCCCGTTAAAGGGCTGCTAGAGGTGGTGACAGTACAAGTTGACACGACGCTTGGTACAAACTGGCCCAGGCCCGGAAGACTTGGCAGCTGGGGCAGGCTTGGGAGTTGTACATCTGAGAAGATGATAAGAGAATGCTTCCTTCAACATGTACCATTCTGAGTTTCAAAACACCACCCAATCAAGCCTCATCAGATGCTTGAATCGGAGAAACTCTTTTTTTACCCAATTATTAAAACAAAATTGGAAAATCCCTCATAGCGAAAAAGAATCACAGTTTGGTTTTTCAGATCGCAGGACAGCTATGACTGGGTCCTTCAATTTCTTAGTTTACTCCCCTGCCCTAAGAAATTCTTCATCATAAGTTTCAGCATGTAAAAGTGACATGACTCTCAAGAGACATTTCCTCATCTAACTCTACCAATTTAAACCATTTGAAACGTTTTTGCAAATCTCATCATACATTGTCAAACTGAATGATAAAATTAAATGAAAGGCTCAGTAGGTTTTCCCATGTCTGGGTGATTTGGTCTGGTCCAGAGATAAAGCATTAATTACCTGGTGAGACATTCCCTTTGACTTTAGTGCCACCTTTCTTCTTCTGCGTCTTGGGTTCTTTGCTCTTATCAGCTGCTGCGGATTTGGGCCTTGCCTTCTTTTGACTTTCACTAATGGCTTTTTCCTCCTTGGACTTCTTCTTGGCTATGGGCAGATAGGAAAAAGCAGCGATACATTGTCTTTGTATAATTACGTTTCCACAATCCTGCATAATGACCTAGTCAATGAACTGGTCCTGATCATAGCCTGCAAACAAGGAGGAAAAAAACTAACCCGCAATCTTTTACAAAAAAGATGGGCAATTAATAACCTGATTTCTAAAAACAGGTGAGGAAGTTAACTGAAGTTAGCATTGTTACGAGGGAGAGCTTTCTTTAACAACTTAACCATCAGTAGATCCCCCATCATCCTGCACCTTGCAGACTAGAGCAACATCCATCACAGCAGGAAGACAAGCTTATTTTTTAATGGAGAGTGGAATATGTGACAAAATTTGATGGTGGATTGGGCTACATTGCACACTACACTCGAAAAACACCATCATTAACACCATATACAGTAGTGTAAGAAAAAACAAGCAACAACATTTGACCACTATTGTATTCTGCTTCTGTAAGAACGGTCTCCCAATTAACACTTAGAATACTGGCATTAACGTATTGCATCATTAAGTTATAGCTATACACTGTAATCTGATCATCATATATTAATTACACTGGCAACAGGCTACAGTAAGGCAGGGGTCAACATTAAGCGTGCACACTAGCACTTTTGCATCCGACAAACCACGATGAATGCCTGGTAACCCGTAATAAGGTGAGAGGTCCGGTGCCGAAATTTGAGCCAGGCAGTTACTGATCCTCTTTGAGGTGATGACACACTTTATTCCAAAGAAATCATCAAGATACGGGGGGGGGGAGATGGGGGAACGTCCGCCATGAATTTGGTATGGGGGGACACAATGTCAAATGTCCCCTCCATGTCTTACGCAAAACAAAATACTAAAGGAATTGATGGATCAAGGATTTTCCCTTTTGAGTTTTCATATAAGGAATATTAAAGATAATACAGACGGTGTGCACAAAAGAGTGTAAATTGATGTCCCCCCTCCCCACGATTGAGGAGAGATTTCCGCCCATGGTAGGTGACAATGTGCAAATAGCCTACATGTACCTTTCTTCTTGGGTATCACCTCTTCCTCAGACTCTTGATCGTCATCAGAGCCGCTGAATACATAACGTACAGTCTTCTTAGCAGCTCTGTGGAAAAGGATTTAAAAATACGAGCCACCTGTTATGTGCAAATGTGTTAACACACCTCCCCCAGCAACCAATGTAAAAGCAGGTCCCGCCCTTCGCATTTCTGCTTGTTTTGACAAGCACCTGTACAAAGAATTAGCACCTGTAATATGAAAATATTGCTACATGAATGCCAAAATTGAATTTGTATCTGATGTCATTTTTTAGCTCAACATTTTGAATGATACACAAACTATTAACATACGCATGCACGTATGCTACCCATATCAATCAATTCCATGGATAATACCCCCCCCCACAGTAGAAAAATAGAACTGGATATCCTTCAGAGCCACTTTCACTGTGAGCCTGTGTACGTGAACCCCTTTCATGCAACGATGCTACCATAGCTTTGGTTGGAAACTGGTTGCATGAGTAAAAGCCTGTCAATTTGTGTACACAAACCACTATCCAATGTGCATTTCTTGTGTTCTCTTTTGCAGTTCACACTGCAATCAATTCCTGAATGGACCAATTCTGCTCACTCAATTTTTGTACACGTACTTTGTGTTTCTGTATGTTACTGCAATTTCTACCTTTTAGGACGACTGCTTGTGACAATCTCACCCTCTGGCACTGATCTGACCACATCTTCTTTTTCTTCGTCATCCAACACACTGCACACAAAAACAGCAAAATATGAACACCTCAGCATACCAAATATACTCTAAAATAAGGGAATAGGTCATAAGCTCAAGTAGCTTGGTCTGTTTACTTACATCACCACATCACTCTCAGGCAGACTCTCCGATACTATCACATCTTCCGCTTGTGCTTCTGGGGTTTGCACCATCTCAATGATAACCACAGGATCTTCTTGGACTTCAGGCTTGGCTGTCCACTCTGTTTTTGTCTCAGGATCAGGTTCGGAATTTCCAACTGCTGGAGGACAGCCTGGGACTTGCGTGGTTAAAGGCTTGGCACTGTCATCATCGCAGGCGTCGGAATCTGAATCAGAACCGAGGCACTCAACTTCCTAAAAAATGATATTGTGAATGAAACAGCACATGCTTAAAAGCCAAGATCTGGTACCCATTACCTCAAATCATCCATTTTTACACCCATGAGACAGGAGCCACGCAGAATTCTCACCGGATTTAAAAATACTACTGCTCTCCATATTGGAACTTGTGAAGAGAAGGGAACAAGCTGTAAGCATTATCCACAAAGTCTCAAGTAAATGTTAAAAACTTTCCCTCTTGAGACCAGGTCATCAAACCGCTACAAAATTCTATCAACAATGCTCACTCAGTTACAGCATGAATTGGCACTGCTGTATGCTTAATACAGGGGTGAGATTGACTAATGATAAAAATGGCTGAAAACAGCTGAAAAAAGGCATAAAGAAGCTGAACTGTGAAAATCTCCTATATCTTTGTACACAGCCAGTGAGGACAAAAAGCTGAAATCCAAAACAAAAAAAGCTGAATTCAGTTAAAAAGCTGAGAAATCTCACCCTTGTAAATAGTCGCTAATGGCTACAAGAATAAGAGGTATTATGAGCAAAAGGTTTCTTACTTGGGTCCTTTCTGGATTGGGCGCAGCCAGAGGCTTTCCATCGTGGAAGTTGGTCAGGATTAACGCGATCATCTCCAAGGTCTTTCCCAGTCCCATCTCATCGGCAAGGATCCCACCCTTCACCGTAGGCGGCCTGATCCGGCTGATGAAATTGGTCACAGTGTTCAGGTAGGAGGAGCCTTGGCTCTTCCAGAAAGGTGGGAGGTCGTCTGAATTCTCTAGGGAGCACATCCAGTTCAGAGCTTGCTTTTGATGTGGGTAAAGCGTGCTGGCTATTGCCTGGTGGAGTTAAATAAAGGCAAAACACCAAATGAAACTGCATTATGAATCCGACATGTTGATTACCCTATGACAATTGCTTATCCTAACAGAATGCTGCACCAATGTTTGGGCACGGCGATATTCAAGAATCCGACATTCAGGGAAACATACTAATTTTCTCTCACAGTTTTCCACCCTGAAACTTTGTCTTAACCTGCAATTCTGAATTGCATCGACTTTGATAAAAGCACCAAGACAAACAGATGCTCTGCTTACCTCTGCTGGTTCCATCATGGTCGTTTTTTCCACTTGTTTCAGATTATCAAACAGTTGATCAATTTCATTGTTCATCTGGACACAAAAACGGTCAAAAACAATGGTTGAAATTCCAGGTTGCAAAGCGTAAAGGCTCAGCTCAAAGATTCGCAGATACAAAAACACAATATAAGCATTAAGCAGGGAAGGACCCCAGGGGGCTCATCAGAGGTCACTCGTCACATGAAAAGTGTCACACTTTCAACAAGTGACAGCACAACACATAACACAATGTTGGAATCAGCATCATCTAAGTTGGTTAACCCTAAAAGAGCGGGGGGGGGGGGAATCCACTGATTCTACTGATCCAAAATTGCATGAGTGAATTTTTTTTCAAGAGCTGGAGCCTTTAGGAGTTTGCCAGTAACTCTTTGTGGTCATTTTGGCACCAGTTTTTGTGAAAAGCGAAAATACCGTTCCCTCGCAGCCCCCATTTTTCCAAAAAAGGTCTAACAATGTAAGCTTCCCACTACGTGCTCAATGTACACAGGCTGGCACATACATGTATGCAGCCTTAAACTTCAAATGACCATAACAACACAGCTATATATGTCAATCTGAGTTAGAATCGACATTTGCACTGGTAACGTATGTTTCACATGCATGATCGGCCAAGCAGTTCCAAGTCCTAGTGACCCCAACAAAAGACAAGCAAATTCAAGTGTACATGTATGATACCAAAGCAAAACCAGCAGCTGACAACTGTTGAACAACTTGACTTAAATTCACATTTTTGGTTAATCAATCCTGATGTTAGTAACAAATAAAACACACCTCAGCTTTGGTGAGTTCAACAGGGCCTGCAGCTGAGGCTCGTGGCTTATAAAGTTTTGTTGGGCCAGACTGTGCCATGCCCCCTCTCCAAGGCTCTGATAGGGAGCGTGGGGGATCAAACCTCACTCCCCGGTATGCTAGCATATCGACGACCCGGGGTTTCTGGTCAGCTCGTCCCCAGACTGAGATGTCGACAGGGATGCGGTAGGTGTTATTCTTTCCAAAGGGAACAACACTGTCAATGAACAGAAAAGAAATGACCTCCTGGAAAGGTTTTCTCAGTTAAAAAACACTACTCTGCACATGGCAATCCTCCCTATTTAAGTAAACTGGTTTCAAACAGCCCATGCCATAAAGGTTCTCTCAATTTCAACGTCAAGTCAAATTATTCAAGTTTTAACACAAGCAAATATTTTGAAACCTGCAAGCTTTACCATCTGTCAAGACCTTCGTTCCCTTTTAAGATGGAGCACAGCCTTTAGTTTTTCACAACAGAACTTCCCTGCAACCATCATTGCAGTGTCAGGTTGTGGTGTGTACTTTTCAAGATTGAAGAAAATCGGTTCCGAGGTGCCAGAGATATTTACAGAGATGTGCCAGGTTTCTATTTACCCTTCAATACGAGCCAGTTTCCCATCAATCACGGGTGCCAAAGCTGCCGCCATCTCTCGCTTGATGTGGCCCACCTGCTCACCCCAGATATTGACCACCTTGATGGCATTTCTGTCGTACTGATTCTCTGGCTGCCTCAACATAGCAACCATTTCGTTGTTGTTCACCTACAAAGGAAAATATTGAAACAAGAACTAACTTGGGGTTGGAAAACAACAAATCTGATGAGACACATAAAAGCATCCAGGCTTATTTCCTATTTGCCTTTCATTCACATTTAAATTTACAAAAACAGATGGATATTTATAAATTATTAAATGAAAACAATTCCAGAATGCCAGTTTGTGCAGGAGCAAACCACCAATATCACGTTGCACCTGTGTCTGGCTGACTGTCAGCCACTTTTTTTTATCAGACCCCGTCCCCCTACAATAATACAAAGAAAGAAGTAACAGGCCTATGTGTACTGTGTGCAAATTTGAACCTTAATCTTAGGTCACTACATATTTAATACATCCCCATATTATATATGTATTTCACATCAATCTTCAAGACAAGACCACAAATTATCTTCCCAGATGTACTTGCAAAATTCTCATGCTGGTAGAAACCCATACCAGAGCCCAACTTTGCAATCTGTGAGCCCATCTGCATCTACATGTATAGCAAAGTAGCACATGTACATTTTGTAAGCAAGCAAGTGGAACATTTCCCTCATTCCATTCTTCATTACCAAGTGCTACGTGTACTACCATTGCTCAACCTGACTGGTCCTGTTTGTGGACACTGGTGGACTCAAACAATGGAATCTTTCGAATTCCACTTAGGTCCACTTCAGGAGGCCTAGCGATTAGGTTTTGTACATGTAACTCCCTATCGCAGGATCAGGGTTCGAATCCTACTCTCAGCATACATTATGACCTTGAACAAGTCACTTTACCTTCACTTGCCTCTTTCCCCCAGAAATTTGGTATCTGCCGACACCTAAAATGGTTGCACCAGGGCTGAATTATTATTACTCAATTATGTATGTACTATACACAATTTTTTTTAAATTGAATAAAAATGCCTCTTCAGGATAATTTCTGGTGGAAAATTGGAAAAACCATATTTTTACTAGTATGCCAACATTAAGGGAAAGTTGTAAAAAAGTTGTAGAAAACTACCTCTCCTCTGTAGTACTGTATGCCCACTATTGCACCACGTATAGTTCCAAACAGTGTTTCATCCTCGTGGTCATCGTTGTCCTCGCCACTAGTGTTCAGACGACCCGATGCAGCCGTCGTCCGGTCCAACATGCCCACCAGATCACTGTCATCAAAGCCATCTGAGGGCCACGTAACACAGGTCAGTGACTCAAGGTCAAAAGTGGGATAGTATGGCTTTCTTTTCCCTGGTGTAATGAGAGAAAATGACATTTGTTCAAACAAGTGTTCAAGGACAGAAAACTGTTTTCTTTCAACAAGTTCTTGAAATTTATACTACTCAAAAATATTCAGGGAACACGTTGATGTCATGACTTTTACTAAATGTTACCACTTCGAGAAGTATCAAGGTTGTGCCGAACTCATTGCAAGTGACGTTCATTGTTTCTCAAACAATACTAAATAAAGTGAAATCAGGGATGTCTTTTACCAGCTGTACCTACATGTAAGAATTCCAAATGGCCACAATAGATTGCCTCTTTTAATGGACAACTGAAAATGCTGTAACATACATGTAATCATATTCCTTTATCATTTTTTGAGCAGTACTTTTCATCTAGGCATTTCCTGTGAATGCTTACATTTTCTGTTGCTCACTCCTGCAGACTTGTAGGTCCTCGTTCTCCAGCCTCGTCTACCCATTCTGGCACTGGCAGCACTTTTTTTATACAATCTGGAATTGAAAATATAAAAAGTTGCTATATCACAGGGTGTTTAGTGGGCATTATAAATAGGTTAAAATTTTCAAAAATGCAACAACCAGACCCACACGCTGTGTAACCATAGACCAACAATACTTGTCATCCCTTGGAAATTTAGGGCACATTTGAATGATGCCCAAACGACTAACGGTTTGGACTATCTGGTTGATTTAAACCATGAGGCATCGCCGTACCACTAGTTATTAAAAAGCTGATCTAATTTACCAAACCTGAAGGCTTAGGGAACATTCACGTAGATATATCTGTACAATGACCCACCACAAAAGACGAGTTCCAACCCACACGTCAAAATGAGAGTAACAGAAACATTTTACAAAATACAAGTACCTTTTGCTGGACTACTGGAAGTGGTCAAGCTATCAGTATCATTTAGACCTGTGCCTAGGTTTGCCCTTAGTCTGACAGAGAAAGTATAGCTCTGAAAACACTCATGAATTAGACATGTCCTGGACCACACTGATGCGCAGAATCACAATACCACAATGTGGGCGTTTCTCAGTAGTGCGCCACCAAGAGTTTTCAACATATTGGCCAATTAATGCGCAAAATGTGTTGATCCTTTTTAAATGGCCGGTGTGAAGTTACATGTACGTGTAGTTACTTATTCCTCATTCAACATTCAATGTTGAATAAGTAACCATCTGATATTCAACACTGAATGAGTAACATTTTAACATTCCAAAAAGGAAAAGAAAAACATGTAGGCAAAAAGAAAAAGAAAATACCTGATCTGATTGGGAAATTGAAAGAGAAAACAAAGGGAAAACTTCCAACAGGGGTAGGCCAATCCAAGCATTTGTGCATTCTAACAAGCAGCATGCATAAGCCCAGACTACCAACTTTTGGGTTTTTTAAGTCACACCATGACTATACTAATCTCCAATATTATTATTACCATTATTAGGCCTATTGCCATAAAATCGCCACTTAATAAATACAACTGTGTCTCCCTCACCATGTTTGGATTTCATATGTTCCTTTCCTGTCTTCCCATACATGTATGTAACAGCCAAAAACAGTTCAGTAAAGGGTGGTCCTGGTTTAATTGATTAGGTCGCAATTTATTTTTAAAGAGAAACAAAAAAATAAGAATCAGGGAAACCAAGTGTTCGCTTCTCACAAAAAAGGGCACAAAAAGAATTTATTTAGTCTCTCTGACAAAAAAAGAAAATTTACAACCACTCAAAACTAGTCGAGTGAAAATTAAAGCACTGAAAATGTTGTAGAGTCCACCTGAAATAAAAGAAATCTTTGTAAACAAAAATTACAGTTCAAAAATACAAAATGAGGAAAAAGTGGAAACTGAAATGGACTCTCAAAAGATCTGGGAATTTACCAAAGAAAAAAAACTAAGGAAGCAAAGGGGGGGGAAAGGAAAACCTATTACCAAAAACAAAAGAAAAACCCACAAGGCACCTATGGAAAACTACTCTTCAAGCATTAGAATGGCTTAAACCTGTAACATAAAAACAGAAAAAAGATACATTGTAATGCATAAAGGTAATCTTAGAACACAGTCCATAAAGGGTGCAGACCACTAATTCAAGTGAGAATTTCTGACCAGCTCATTAGCATTAAAAGTGCCCCCCCCC